GTCCGTATATGCAAGACAGCAGGCAGGACAGGATCATCGGCAGCACAAGTGTGATATATTGATGAGGTGTGAACCAATGGACCACTCGACTTCAGGAGTAGGGCTGCAATTAGTGATTGATTGCAAAATAAATTAATCTGCCAATCACTTTATTGATGAATCAACTGATTTAAGATCTCAGGTCTCATTTTGTGTAATCATCTGTCAAAAATCCTATGAAATTCAGATTATCTTGACAGATGGGATCTTTAGGTGGAGACAGCAGGCCAGTGGCATATGCCACATAGAAATGATGTACATCATCAAAGCTGGGAACCTGAAGATATTTGAGGTGCAACTCAGCACTATGTATTAAGTTTTGTAACAAATATATAATAAACATTGTGTTTTGGTTAGGTGCCCATTAAAACTGTTAAAACTAAAGTGTATTGGGGCTTAGAACGTTAGGATGAAAGTACATCATGGCCATTGATACCATTTGAATTTGAGCATGTTTTACCACTTGAGAACAGACAAAAAAAATGGTTTAAAATCCACATTTACCACATTGACATACCAAGAGCTTGAGGATCACCACAGAAAACTCTATGCAGTGATTTCGTATTTGGTATAACTTTTGACATTTAGAGATTTCTGTGAGAATTGCATTTTTAAGTGACTGGATGGTAAGCACTTCTGTTCTGGAAACTGCTAAAAAACTCCCTTATTGTCAATACACCCATGAAAGAAATTCATTGTCTGAATACTTGAGGTCTCTAGTTTGTGGCTGTAAAGTTTCATGAGAATGTGATTATCCTAGAGGTCACTATAGATCATTTTATACAGTAATGTCCGTTTCCAAAGCATTGGTCTCACTACAATGAAATTGCTACTATGGGGGCTAACATCATCACACATGAATAACACTAAGGTCACTGAATCCAAAAGAATCTCAGCTTTCCAGCCAGGCCCAATTTATGAAATTCAAAGACTACTGGTATGTAGAAATATTAAAAAACAATAGGCAAAAATAACACAGCTATACTGCATACAAAAAAACATGCATGGTTTTTGCCGAAAACTGTAAGCTGTTAGCATAAAGGGGGCATGTCTTTGCAGGGGAGACTCAAGGGTATCAATAGAACCCATTTTCATTTAAAAATCTCAAGGTCAAGGGACCCCTATAAAAAGGCCATGCCTTTTGTTCCTTGCCAAAATCTACCTGTGATTTCCGTTCTGAGAGCATGACATGGCTAGAACAACTGGATTCCACAGGGTTTCTAGTTTTACATGATCATTAGCATCACTCTAGCTTTAAGTTTTAAATGAGCCTGCTCTCACCCCTTAAAGACTGGCCGCATGCCGGGTCTCAGAGGGTTGAAATACTCTGAAAACCAGCAAAAGTCCACATTACTGATCAATAAGTAATACTGATATTGATATATCCACTTTTTTACCCAGCTAATTTTAGTGATCATCAAGTCTCTTCTGTAGTGGAATTAACATCATATTAAATCAAATCAAATCAAATCATGTTTATCTATATAGCACATTTAAAAACAACCGCAGCTGACCAAAGTGCTGTACAAGATAAAAGAATGACACGCAATACAAAATGTACACAAATAAGAGACAGACAGAATAAAACTGGTAAGAACAATTACAAATATGAAAAGATAAGATGAAATGCTAAAATATTAAAATCACTACAGACAACCAAAGGCCATTGAAAACATGTACGTTTTAAGATTTGTCTTAAAAGTGTCAATGGAGGGGCATTTGATTAAGAGGGGAAGGCTATTCCAGAGCTTTGGAGCAGCAACTGCATGCATAATCTTTTCAAGAAGGCCCACCAGCAGATGGAGACATGAAATACAATCCTTTTCAATGTACGTAATATTCATTCACTGTGCAAAATAAGAAAAAGCATGTTGTCCAAATCCAGCCAATACCTATGATGTGCCGATATTATCATTCCTAATTACACTGTCTATTGCACTTTTTACGATGCATTATACTAGGAACATGTCAACCAGCTGGCTGACTTGCGTATCCACTTTCTGCATGGGTCATCTAAAAAAAAAAAATACAACAACAACCTTAAAGCAACTCTTACCTTTCTTGCATTTTACACAACACTTAGAAAAAATTTGTACATCTACAACTCCCGCCTCCCTCCAAAGTCCCATCCCCCTCCTCCTGCAACTCCACCTTCCTCCAAAGGCCTACTCCCCCCTCCTCCATTACGCCCTCATTATGTCTATGATAAGTGCAGGCGTTGGCAAGGTCACGTTAGATACACAGAAGAGGAGAGCAAGTGTAACACGCCAAACTAAACATAACGTTACCTGTCCTGCACAGTCAAACGCAATCCCGGAGATGTTATGCGAGCGGTTACATCAGTCGGAGGCCTCCACGTGAGGAAGACAGGCAGGACGCTCGGCCAATCACTGCATTCGGTCCAAATGCAATGACTGGTCAGAATTTTCTTAGAACCATATGAGAATGGTATAATTATGAGTTTGTATCTCTGGTGGAATTCACTTACATTTTAGTGTGCCATCAGCTTATAAACCTCTTGCACTCCACCCCCATTTTGTAGCAAAACCGCCTAAAATGACATACCCAAATTAAAATGACTGTAGCTTCTGAACTGCTCTGACTACATGCATGCATGATGTCTTGCCAGAAAGAAAACTCCCTAAAGTTTCTTGTGAAAGGGTTAGTAATGGGCCTTTGAAGTCATTAAAAAAAATTGAAGATTTTGCCTAAAATAAAATAAAACATTTTTTCAGGATGAATAACTGTCTGTGGCTTCATCTGAGCAGGTAAATGACACTATGGGGCTGTAGGCACACTATCAATGAACACTTCTTTCAAATTTGAAGAAGAAAACACAAAGTATGACCATTCTACAGTGTTTTTTCCATGAAAAGATCCAGGCGGAGCTCCAAATGACAAGTAGGTTTCTCGGCTTCAAAACAGTACTGTCAGTGATCAAACAACACTCAGCCAGCTTCTAACATTGTACCATATTGAAATCAGTGATTGTGATAGCTGATGTTGTTTTTGACACAGAAACACCATAAAACACCACCAGAATAAAGCCACATGAAACGTGAAAGTTATGATCCCACTTTCTAGACGGTGTATCTCAGCCAAAAATAGTGGTAGGAGTGTGACACTTACCTTTTATAAAAGAGCTAAGTCCCTGCTAACAGCTGCTCATAAGACTGCGTGTAATCCTGTAACTTTTCCCGCCGAAATACAGCATGACATGACATCACCACCCATCGCGATTTTGGACTATGTGTGTTTAGGCTGCTCTTGTGCGAAATACATAAGAAATACAAGAATTATTATATTTTGAAAAGTCGAGAGCTTCCTGAATCTGGCAATACCAAATATCACATGGTTTGATGACATAGTGCACCTGGGAGATACCATTTAACAGAGGAGGAAGAGAGCGAGGACATCAGCGTCCTGGCGGTAATAGCATTTTAACCTATACAAAGAAATGCGTAAAATTTCCAGAAAGGTAAGTGTAGCTTTAAAAGCTGCCAATTGTAGAGAAAGGAACACAGTTTTGCCAAAAATCATTTTTTTGCAAATCCATATCTTAGTGTGACTGTGAAAGGGTTAAAAACAATTATTCAAGTATCATTACTGTTACAGATTAACTTTCCATCCCTCCTCTAATCAGTTATCAAACTACTTATTTAGGTCTGCTGCAGAGCTTTTAGAGCCAAATTGCATTACTGTATTAACAATTAATTTGTCTAACAAGTAATTAACCATTTAAAGCTGAAGACTTGATCACTGACCGAGAAACGTGACCGCTGTTAACAACTTCACTGACATTTGTAACTGCAGAATCATGGGTGTATTACAGTGGATCCTAAACTTCCTGTGTCATGTCTCCTTTGGAGGCCAAAAAAATGTCTCACACTGCACCGCTCACATAAATATCGTTAACATCAACAATAGTGAGGAAACTAAAAGGAGACAAATAGAATTTTATTGAAATGTCCTTCAGAAACATGAACTGTATGTTTCTTTTCACACTTAAAGTTTTTGCTATGGAAATGAACTTTAAGTTGAACTTTGCCCAAACTGTTTATCTTTGCCAAATGACTCAGTTTCAGACCTTTTTCACAGCAGACCTGTCGTAGTACAAGACGAATGCATGAGAAGACTAACATGAACAACGCATGGGTTTTTTTTAGGCTTGATTGATGTTCCAGCTATTGCAATACAATGCAGCAATTCATATTATTAGTTACACCTGTTTGCGAAAAATGCCTGCTGTAAAAAATTTCTGTTTAACATCAGTTTGACTTCATATTTCACATCTTCCCCATGGTCACATGTGCCTTTAGGAACCAGTGTTTTTTTAATAATGAGACATATTATTTATGACTTTATTAATGACTGCACAGACTTTTGATGACTTGACAGGCAGAGAGATTTTTGCACCAGGCAACAAAAAGCTACTCTTAATAATTGTTTATAACCATAAACAAAAGTGTTTACTAGCTAATAATTAAGTCTTTTCTAGCACCAAATTCGTAATTTTTATTTTTAAGTTCTACAAATAATTGAGTCAAAAGCTGTACAGTAAACAAAACCAGAGTCTTCATTCTGTGCTTTTCAGCCCCCCCACCCCCAAACACAAACGCACACCATTGGGGCCCTAGGTAATCAGTCCCACTATGACACCCCATTAAGCTACAGTTCCGTTAGGCTATAAATGTGCCTTGTTGGAAAGTAGTGCCGTAATTTAACATGAAATGAGGACAGCTATAGCCAGCATGATGCACAGTGTTTCAAAGCTGCAGGAAAAACCATGACTCCACACGGAAATGGTCCATCTCAAGAGGCTTAAAACAGAGAGAGAAGTGCGTCGAGGTGAACTATGAACTCACTTTAAAATCTCACTAAGAAGTCCATGCAGTATTATTACAGGCTCCACTGAGTGTTTTGTTTATAAGGATGTAAAAAGTAACGAGGTGAAGGCTTACCTTGAACTCGTTCCTGGTTCCTTCTCACTCAGACTGTTTTATTCCCTTCGCCCTGCAATCCTCTTTCGCTCTTCCTTCCTCGGTCACTCGTTCCTAACGTCGCTTCATGCCTCCGACTCTCCGGGCGCACCGCGGACGGTGGACCAGCTCTGCCTGGGGAAACTTCCACTCAAAGTAAGGATGTGTGGAGGAAAGAAAAGGGCAGCGATGGGCAGGAGGAGAGCGCCGAGGCAGGGACAGGAGGACGGAGAGAGGAGCGCGAGGCAGCGGGTACGTTTTAAACCTGATCTCCCGACGAGAAACCCGACTGCTGCCGCGCTGAAATTCAATCTGAGGCAACAGACACTCAGCGCTGCTCCGAGCAGCACATCTCCCTGCCTGACACGGAAACAGAGGAGTGAGGTGGGGAAGAAGGGGGGGGGGGGGGGGGGGGGTTATTATAAGGACACAAGCAAGCGCCTTCCGACAAGACAGGTGGATATGCTCCTTTGGATATCTCTGTCATTTTTGTCACCCCAGGCCAGAGCAGAAATCTTCCTGAAAGTGCACATACAGTAGATTTTAACATGGAATTCATGCTCAGAGTCGACACGGAGCTATTCAGCTGGTTATAAATAGCAAAAATACAGTGAAGCCTGCTGCAATTTATTAAAACATCTTCACCTCCAACTGCAACCTGCTAACTGGTGACTATGACTTAGTGACCAAGAATTAAAGTCAAGTGTAGGCTAAGAGAATCAAAGTTTTACACTGTCATAATTTAAGCGTAAAGACTGATGACTGCAAAAGGAGCTAGACTAAGACTGAATAGGATCACCAGAGCTATTATAGGGGAGCATGAATGTGTACATCACATTTTGTTGCAATCCATCCAGTAATGGGTGAGATATTTCACTCATAACCATAAATGGGAAGCTCACTGTGGTACTAGACCAAGAGTAAGGGAATCGCCAGAGTCAGAGGGATTCATCCTCTCGGCAACATGAGTATTGGTACAGTATTTCATGGCAATCCATCCAATAGTTGTTGAGAGATATCAGAATCAGAGTGGTGGACAGAGACAGACAGATGTTCCCACCCTTAAAGCCATGCTGCTAATTGAAGCTATGCACTACAAATGTTATTGTATGGCTGGTTTATAGCCAGAGTCTGTTTGTTTTGAATTACAACTGAATTTTGTAAAATAATAACATATGATCTTGTCATCATGATATGATTCCACTGAAAGGCAACGAAACAATATTGAACTGACGCTCAGCCTCAGAGAGTGGTGAGATCACCTTTATTTGTAGGCCGACGTGGATGTTAGCATCGCCCTGGTTCCCTCAACAAAAAGCCAGTGGGATTTTCCTTTGGATTTTTGCTGCTTTTTGCTGTAAATAAGCTATGTGGCAAATAAAATTTTATGATACCTAAGGCTCATTTATACTCCCTTTACGTACGAAAATAGATATGTCTGTTTCAAACATCACTGCCCTCATACTTCCATGCATCCTTTATGATAGCATAGATGTCAGTGGAGAGCAGAGTCAAAAGTTTCACACAGCAACAAACGAGGTGGCAGTGGAGGAGGTTGTAATATTATAACTTTAACGGAGGCAGCGTTGTAGGCGGTGGTGGTCTTTGCGGCCTTTATATACATTCCGACATATGGACAGAGAATTCTTTTCACTATATTACTGATTTGTTCCATTATGCCATTATTTAAATTTCTTTGTTGTCGCCTATGGTTGTATTTAGCTTGAACTATGCTACACTGCCTCCATGATCTCTGACGGTACTGCTCCGTTTTTGTTTATATCCATAAGCTTTCCGAAATCATTAAACACTGCCAGTAGTGGATCCCGATATGGGCCGAATGGGCGTTTGCCCAGGGTGGCATTTTGTCACGACGTGTGCGGCCCAAGCCGCGCACTAGTGTGCTCACCTGTGTGTGTGTGTGTGTGTGTGTGTGTGTGTGTGTGTGTGTGTGTGTGCGCGCGCGCGCGCGCATTGGAGTGGAACTCGCCATGAGCGATACAGAGAGCAGAGGAGAATTGTAAACTTGCGACCATGTAGAGACAGAAATGTCATGCCATGGTGTAATTAAGATAAATAACATAAAGCTATTTAGTCTGTTTAATAAAAGGACAAGGTAGCCTATAGACCTGTTGTATAGGAAAGGTAACCTTAAATGACTTGTGTTGTGATCTGGCGCTATATAGAAAATAAAATTAAATAAAATTAACTTGACCTTCAAGGGGGGACGGGGGGTGCCGTTTGGGGGGCGGGGTGCCCCCTAATATAATGGTAGGGGAAACACTGCTTGTGGTTCTCAGTTCAGAGGCCAAATAATGAAACCTTGTAGTTGTTGCCTAATTCTGTGTTTTTTTTGTTTGTTTTTTAGGGGAGTGGGGGTGGGGGGCACCATAGGGGGCAGTGGCGCAAAAAGTGGGTATGCACTATATGCGGCGCATAGGGGCGCCGCGCTAGAGGGGGCGCCAAAGCGATGAGGGGAAAATTATTTCTAGTCGGCATTTTCTGTATTTAACAGCTGTTTGTGCATGTGTAAATGATATGATCAATAACAGAGGCACGTCACTGATTAGGCGCCCCTCCGCTCCTTCACCTTCTCTACACACACACTATAGGCGCTCCGGTGCACGCCCCCTCGAGCACGCGCTGGAGCGCGAGTGTTTTTATTTGAATCGTGATGACAGGAACCTGAAAATGGAGAGGCAGAAGAGAAAGCTCTCAGGGGCACAAAATAGAAAACGGAAGAGGGAGAAGGAGAAAGAGTTCGTTGGGATGAAAAAAGGCATTTCAAAGTGGTTGAAAGACAGTAGGTAAGTTATGTCAGTGTAAGAGGAGGCTTGTAAATATTCAGGTTAGCTAAAGCTACTACTAGTAAAAGGACAGGTTACAGTTGTCTTGCAACTGTGTACTGATCAGTATTTACAATATAACAGATCATGGCAAGAAAAATAAAGGAGCTTGTTTGTGGTTATTTTGTTGTTCAGACAGTAATCGGAAGTCTCGGATGTCGTCCAAACACTCTATTTACTAATTGGATTATAACTCGGCAGTGGTGTATGATAGAGACTTACGGCAAAAAGATCCGGAAAGTTGACGACTGCGCCGTTTCAAAGAGGGGTCCGACATGATCGTAGCCCTTTCAGATGCTTTGTAATCCAGCCTTGAAGTTCAGTGACTTTTTGGAGTCTTGGCCTTTAAATCCGTCATAATACTGAACGTTTTTTATCGTGATCTGTGGATTTACTCTATTCACTGAACTACTGAGGCACCTGAAGTAAGAATAGAAGAGTGTAGATCAAGTAAATAATGTGTAGATTCTTATTTGTGCATTTAGATGGCAGGCGGACCTAAAGGGAGAAAAAAGGGCTTAGACCTCTGAGGGTTTTTAACTAGATGGTGAATCATAAAACAGATAAATTATAGAACTTGGGAGTGATACACTTGAGTTTAAATGTCTTCACTCGGATATAACACTACAGTGCTGTAGTGATGTATCTGATAAGTCTGATCAGATGCAGCATCCAATCAGTAACTGATATCCAATAAGGATATCATTTAAAATAAAAAAAATCATGTTTTTTATATGTGGTTTGACTGCTGTATTTTTGAAACCTCCTTAACACAAAGTTCACGTTGTTCAGGTGTGAGGATGGAGAGAAAGAAGAGAAGAAGACAGAAAAAGAATCAGGACAGACAGGGGAAGGTGACAGGTTGGTCTAATATTAGGTGGAAGTGTAGGAACAGCCACTTGATACCAAGTGATTAATTTCTAAATATTATTTATATTGAAAAATTGCATTAGCAAGATGTGTAATTTATTCAAAGCTATTAAATAATGCTTGTTTGACCATATAACTTAGCAGAGAAGAACACAGGCAAGGGGTGGAGACAGACATGAGGTCGGTGATGGCATCTGCTATAGAGGAGACCAGTGATGACATCAGGTAGGAATAATTAAACTAGTGAGGCCACAAAAACCTAGATGCCCAGCATGGTTTGAATTTCTGCTGACCAACCTATTCACTGTGTCCTTTTGGGAAAATTAGTGCAGGCAGACATGGCAAGTCAATCACCACAGAGGAGAATGTGGAACAGAGAGGTGAAGATGAGGGAGAGGAACAGAGAGGTCCAGATGATGATGAAGAGGAACTGGAACAGAGAGGTGAAGATGAGGGAGAGGAACAGAGAGGTCCAGATGATGATGAAGAGGAACTGGAACAGAGAGGTGAAGATGAGGGAGAGGAACAGAGAGGTGCAGAGGAGAGGGCTGGGGCAAGGCCTTACTCAGAAGATCCATCTGAATGGCCTTCACCACACGAAATGGGGGACTCATTCAGGCAGTACATGGTTGAGAATGGCCCACAGAAATGTCCTGATGGGCCATATCCAAGATCAGATAAGAGTAAAAGGTGTTTTTCCAAAGCATACTGTTTTCGTGTACTGTCCAATGGAGAGAAAGTCGAGCGGGATTGGTTACTATACTCCAAAAGTACTAACAGAGTCTATTGTTTTGCATGTAAGCTTTTTGGTGAAGCTAGAGTTGCTGACAGACGCCTTGTGGTGGGGTATAATAACTGGCAGTGTCTTTCAAAAACACTGAAGCACCATGAAACCAGTGGTTATCACATAAATGCTTATCTGATGTGGAAAGAATTGGCATCCCGCTTACGCCTTGGTAAAACTATTGATAGCGAATTGCAGAGAGCCATGGCTGCTGAAAAGGCACACTGGAGAAGTGTGTTGACTCGAGTGATCGACTGCATACTCTTCCTTGCAGAAAGAAACTTGCCACTGAGGGGAAAAAATGCACAGTTAGGAAATCCTAAAAATGGAAATTTTCTGGGTATCCTTGAGCTCATAGCACGGTATGATGTCACACTGGCGGAGCATCTTAGAAAGGCTGCCTCAAAAAAAAACACCAGATATCTGTCCTGGTGCACTCAAAATGAATTTTTAGATTCAACATCAGCATGTGTTTTGGGTAAAATTTGTGCCCAGATCAAAGCCTCCAAGTACTTTGCAGTGGAATTGGACTGCACACCCAATATTTCAAAGCAAGAGCAGGCCTCAGTTATCATACGGTATGTTCATACAGATGAGAAGAAGAAGGTCACTATTACTGAGTCTTTTGTGGGGTTCACTGCTGTGAAGGACACAACTGGGAAAGGCCTCATAGATACACTGACAGGGGTGCTGGATAGTCTGGGGTTGGAGTTGGCTAATTGTAGGGGACAAAGTTACGACAATGGCTCTAATATGAGGGGAATACACAAGGGTGTCCAAGCTTTAATACAAGAGAGATGTCCAGAGGCT